ACACTATTGGGCACGATAACACTCTTGGTTATGATGTCACTCGTTGTGTATGATGGTACTATTAAGAAGGGGGATCTGATAGAAAACTAGAGCATCAAAAGAAGTGACATGCACATAAGGTACCATCAAGCGACAAAGCAACACTTAATGGTACCATATCTTCTATCATGGCACCTCAAAGAAGTTCCATGCACTGGAGGTGCCACCAAGTGACTAAAGGTGGCACTAAGTGGCAAGGGGTTCCACTCAATGATACTTGATGTGTCAGTGGTGCATTGTTGATGCCAATGTAATGTCTCTCAAGGATTAAGGTTCTAGAAGCAGTTTCATGGTGGATTTAGATTGGTTGACACCTTTCATGGGCCTATGGATGAGTGGGCTTTGCCCATTAGGGTTTTAATTTTCTTCCCTAGCCTATAAATAAGGATGCAAGCTAGTCATTTGTTTATGTATTTTGTGTCTTGTATCCTTAGTGAGTATGTCGAATCTTTTACAGGTTGTACTTGTGATCACTTTTTAAGAAGTCCATGAATAAATAATATTCCCCTCCTACCCGTGGACGTAGGTCACCTTGACCAAACCATATAAATATTGTGTTTGTGTGATTTTGGTTTTGTGTGTTATTTGTACTACTTCCTAACAAGGGTCATCATAGCTTAGAAAGTGGAATCAGATTCATTCTGATTCTTGATAAATGCCATATGATTTCCTAACAAGTGGTATTAGAGTAGCAATTGGTGTTTAGTTGATTGAAGATGACATATCAAAAATTCGATTTGGAGAAATTTAATGGTTCGAGTGTTTTCAACTTGTGAAAGGTAAAGTTGAAGGCTCTTCTAGTTTAACAAGGATGTGCGACAACATTGGAATGAGAAGATAAGCTGCCTAAATACATGTAGGATGACAAGGTGGATATTCAAGAAAGAGTTCATAATGCTATGCTATTAAGTATGATAGACAATGTATTAAGAGAGGTTGTGGATGAAACAAGTTCATATAGGCTTTGGGATAAATTATGTGACATGTACCATAATAATTCTATGACAAATATGTTGTATCAGAAGCAACATTTTGTATACTCTTAGGATGTTTGAAAATTACCCAGGTGAAGGATCGTCTAGATAAATTCAATAGGATCATCTTGGATTTACAAGGTATTAATGTAAAGATTGAAAATTAAGCACTTATCCTCTTATGTTTACTGCAAAATTCTTATGATAGTTTTGTTCATACCATGCTATATGGTAGGAAAATGATCACTGTGAAGGATATCAAAGATTCTTGATGCTCCCAAACTCTAATACTTGTATATGAATCTAATAGAAATGTAGAATAATAACATAAGTATTTGACAAATAATAACCAACATTATTTATCAGGTTTTTCACTAAGAACAATGTTCTCACATAGAGAACAAATACAACGAATCAGAACTCACCAAGAACTCTAAATCTATCTACACAGAAACTCTATATCTTAGAAGCCATACAAAGCGTCAATACTCAAATAATATGAGAGGTTAGTATAAATACTAGTCTAAACATAGGAGATAAAATTTCTATAGATATTCTAGATCTTCATATAAATCAAATCCTTGATTTGTAGAGATTGAATCTTCTAAGGAAAGTGTAGATTTGGTAAATAAGGAATGGATTAGATTAGATCTTCATAAAACTCTTCACCAAGTTATTATGATCTGCTATAGATTCAGATATCAGCACCAACACATCATATGCTGATAAGGGGCATTGGTGTCTGGGAGTCACACTGATCAGCTTCAGCTTTAGCAACAACATTAGGGAGTCATGCTGATCAACTTCAGCGTCAGCGAGAGTGAATAACCATCATCATGGTTCATCAGTGTATCACCTAATCAGTGTGTCGTCAGTGGAGGACCTTTAACATATAGACACATTGATCAGTCTTCAGTGAATGGTGTCTCCATGCCTATGATGCTGATAGTGTCTTCAATTTCTTTTGCTCATCTGGGGATGATCTACAGTCTTTGACATATGAGCTTCCATCACTATATCTTCAGATTAACTAGCTAAAAAAAATTCTAATAAATCTGCTTTTCGAAGTGATATTATTTACACTTACTTAGACATGAATGACTGTCCACAATAAGCAGACGAAATACAACTATAATGTATATATTTGCATCATCAAATCTATACATATATGTATCCGAACCTTCTCCCTCTATTTGATGATGTAAAACCATACTAATAAAGAATGAAATAGTAAATGAACTAACTACATCTAAGGGAAAAAAATATTGAATTATGCTCCCCCTTAGATTTTTCTCGCCCTTAGATTAATAATCTCTTTCTTTCCAGAGTGTCTGCTATTGCATTAATGATCAAGAGACAACATACCCGAACTAAATATTTCTCCCCCTTTTTGACAACATTAATAAACAATGCCTTTTCTTAAGAAGACAACAAGTAACCTAAAATGAAAAGAAAACATCAAATAAAGTTAATAGGATGGGATAGGTGTATCATATTATTATGTTGTTGCAATAATAGGTCATTTACAAAACTATGGATAGTCTCATCAGTGTATGGTTTTATATGTCGAATCATTAACCCATTCTATTAGAAGTAAAAGGGCGAGAGTAGGTAGGTGCATGTGAAAAACTACAGTACATAGCTTAACCATCGACACAATTTTTTAAACTTTAATGAGTGTATGGTATTATATAGTGAATCACTAAGCTCTATATTAGAAGACTTATATAGATGAGTAGTTAAATTCTTGGAACTCATCCATCGTCAATTCATAATGGTACCATGTCGTACCTTAGACTAAGAGGTTAAGTACATGAACAACCCTTTTTCATTTTAGGAACAAACAAGTATCTCTTACACTGATGAATATCTTATCACGGTAAGCTACTGGGTAATGCTCAATGTTTCAGCAAAACATGAAATTTGATGCATACAGAAAACATGCTTCCAGGGAAGAAGTCAGGTAAGAAATGATTAAAAAAGAAAATAAACACCCAATTCTTAGAATAATTTTCTAATTAGGACTAGGTAATCTCACTTTGAAAGTTTAGACAATGATGGGCAATTAATGTGAGTGTGTGACTTGATTCCATCTCAACTGATGGTCTCGCTGATGAGATACTTAGAGAGATTTAGGCACATACAACAACATGATTTTAGGGACACTATCTAGTCAATAGTTGCATACTTGGATCAAGACATGCCACTGAGAAAACAAGAAAGGTACAATGATTTTATCATGAGTGACCATATCAGATAAAGCATATGTTTTAGCTTCAAAAATCATTTCTACCTGATTCTCAAATTTAGCTCGGTTGTCTTTGTCAAAATTGATTGCCCCCCCTAAGTTTGTGGTTCGTTTCTTTCGACACTATGAGACACTTTATCAGTACACTGTATGATCATAAAAGCATGACATTTCTCGTGAATTCCATTGAAGTGGTGCAATGAATTTTCAAATCTTGAAGCAAATGTGTATTGACACATTAGGTAGACTGACACCAAGACCGACTAAAAATTATCTAAAAACATCACATGATCAAGCATCCATGTTATCTCTTGTTTAGCTTTAAATCAGTGCTTGAAACCAAATAACTTTGAACCTACAATATAGATATCACCGTTAGAACTTTAGGGGGTAAATAAAAATTAAGGGGTCAATAACGTGTGATGTTCATGGATAATTTAAACACCAGACACAATATTAACTACCCCCCCCCCCCCCTTGGAGATACTGAATTGACTCCAATTCTTTTATTGTAGTGAATTCTCCCTCTTTTATTTCTATCAAGTCGATAGAAGCAATATACTTGCCAAACTTTGCTGAGAAAACCTGCATAACACTTCTTTTTGAATTTTTGGACTTAAACCATAACAAAAAAACAAGTATAAAAGATAAAATGTAAACAAACTAACAAGAAATAAATTTAACAATTGGAAATGAAAATAAATAATGTATCTTAAAGAATTAAAACTTTTCTAATAATTGATTTTTAAATCATAACAAAATATAAAAGACTACAAAAATATTCAAAAATTAGAAACAAAAACTAACTAATAATTTGGAAAAACAATTTTATTTTATTATTAAAGTTAATTTAAAAGAAAAAATTCATATTTATTTATTTATTTTGAAAATAATACTCTTATTTATTTATTTTTTTGATGAACATAATACCAAAAAAGAACTTCATCTGCTCAGCGTTGCTACGTAGCTCCTCGGATGCTTATGGTAGTGCCTCTTAGGGCTTTCTCCAATTAGCAGTCCAAGTAGCACGCTTCATGATATGAGATAATTATAGGTTAGAAATCCATACCGAGGGCAAACCCCTGTATTGCTCTCCGATGCCTAAGTCAAAAGTCATGTTTAATGCATTAAGTGTATATAAATTGCTTAAATTTTTTCTCTCTTTACCTTTCAGTGAAGGCTCGTTCTTATAGCAAAGGTTCGGACCAGTTTTTGGCTTCTTCTTTTGGGTTTTGCAATAATCTTCAAGTTATGATCGTGAGCCTCCTTTTCTATTAAATAGTCTTGCTTTTTCCCGTGCTTCCGAGAGATGCTTTATAGGGTATATATGGTGATTCTTGCTTTAGTGCTCGACGTTTAGGTAGATGCTTGTGCTCCGGTAGGCAGGCCAGGTTGCTTAACCGGATTGGTTTTATGTGGACTGGTGGACCTACCCATTTAAGCCCCCAACCTAATTGTTATAAAGCATTACCGGTGTATAATAATTGGGCTTAAATGGATTATTTTTGCGTGCTTTCTTACTCGGCCCAGTTGACAGTTTTTCGCTTTCCCACGCATCCATGACTATTCATTAGCTTATAGGCACTCAAGATCCTCTTAGTAATAGTTGGCTTCCCACCATCTAGTTCGTAAATGCTTGTTGAATCTTTGTCAGTTGCATCCTTTTATTCTTTTCTCTTAATATTCCGTATTTCCTTCACCATCTATCCTTCTCGAATCCTCGTATACTTTGTGAAAGAATGTTTCGCTCGGTAATGCCCACTGTTCACTCAACCGTCAACCATGAGTGGCTCGACCAGGTTACTATCAAGTATCATCTTGTTGAAGAAGACGATGCTATTTTTCCCGCTACGAACACCGTCATTGATCGATCACCACCATCTAAGGTTGGTTTTTATCTTTACTATTTTAAGGCTGGTCTGCGAGTTCCCCCTCAGGGTTTTTTGGTTCAGTTATTAAGGCGTATAAGATCCATACTTGCCAATTGAAACCTAATTTCATTTCAAAAATTATTTTCTTTGAACTTTTGTGCCATGCCTCCTTGGTCGTCCCTACTGTTGTCTTGTTCCAGTACTTCTTTTGCATTTGTAGTAATGCGACATGGTATCATTTTCGTTCAAGGGGTCGTACTTTACCGAAGGTCTTACAAATTCGATAAAAATTTGGAAAACTAAATTTATCTGGTTGAATGCTTCATTCTTTCGTTATCAAAATGAATCTCACCTTCCTGGGACGATTGAGAACCAAAAGCCCGGTAGGACTAGTGACTTAAGCTAGTATATAGACAAGATATCCGGTTTGAATGTGATGATGAAGAAATTCCCTAAGTCTATGTTGGCGAAAGTTTGTACGAGCCCATATTGGCTTTATCTTGGCATTTTTCCGTCGATATTTGTTTGTGGTGCAGCTGTGCTTCTACAAGACATTTTTGTGTTCTTTCTTTTTTGTTATGAGTATTGAACCAATACTTTGCACATGTAGATGGAACTTGATTTCCTTTCCTTTTATCTGATTTTGTTGAGGGCAAAATTGCTTCAGGATCTGGGCTCGATGGCTTTTCACCTTCCAATTCTTGATGATAGCTTTATCTATAGTGGTAGCAATGGCAATAGTTCTCACGATAGGGTGCAAGAAAGTTCTGAATCTTCGATTGGGGTTCACGAATATTATAATAACATGAATGATAGTAATACTACCCCTATTGTTACTAGGCCCATGGTTAATGTTGATGGTGATGGTGAGGATAGGAGTAGAGAAAAACCCTTGATCTAGCGTAAGAGAGACAAGGATTTTGCAGCCTCTGCTGCTCTGGCAGCTGTTTTATTAGGCAAAGAAGGTAGCAGTGGTAGCATTCTCAAGAGGTCTCATTCCTTGGAACCCAATGTTTTTCGTTATTTTCCTAGTAGTCTTGTTTATAAGCATCCCTTGTCATATGTGTCTCAACTAAATATGAATAGCTTGCCTTGTGGTGTTGATTCCTCGCACACGTTCGGTCCTATATATATATGTTCCTTCTTAGGAATGCATGTAGGATTAGAGATTGATCGAGCCAAAGGTTGCAAATTATTTCTTAGAGAAATTTTGCTTCTCCGGGGACCCATGCAAGTGTCAACCATGGTCGTTGGGAGCACGTTCATGGCATGTATATGATTAAGCTTATGGAGAATATGGTTTTAGGCCAAGATATCATTTTGTGGCTTGATGAGAATGAGTCCTTGAACTTACAAATCATAGCCTACACGATGAGTTCAAGAAAATATCGGATCTGATTAAGCCGTTTGTAGTGTTGTCCGAAGGGGTTGCTCATAATGTGCAATTGCTTCATGATCAACATGTGGAGCTTGTGGAAACAATGTTGAGTTTGAAAAGGTTATTCCGAATGTGGGGGTAGTGCCCTTGGATGAGATGTATAAGGTGAGAGATGAACGAGTTTTTGTAAAAAATGAGAAAGTTGTCTTGGAGAGCAAACTAGTAGGGTATGATGATGTTGTCAAGGAAGTTTCGACATTAATGGCCATAGTGGCATCTCTTGAGTTGGATAAGATCCGGTTGTTGGATAATATATCTATGTTAGATCACGATGTTCGGAAGCTGAAACGTGACTTAAATGAGTTCACCCCGCAAAATTCTGATTTGCAAGCAAGTATGGTGGGGTTAGAGAATCAGCTGAGCAAAGTGAATGGGGATGTGACTTGGGTATTATCGCATGAGATCATGAAGTTGGTTGACAAAATTCTCACTGAATCGTCATTTTTTAAGGCCAATCGTGATCTGCAATCCATTTGTGTGGATTTTGGTAGGAGGGCTGGCTATGAGATGATGAACACTGATTTTAAGATGAGCCTTCATGAAACCAATCTTCCATTATATGACCCCTCTCATGTGAAAAAAAATTGAAGAAGTGTTTCCAGCTTTGTGTTTGTGCTGACTATTTATCTAAGTATGGCTTTCCTTTGATAAGTATTGATCAGTTGTGCAAATTGGTAGATCTGCTGGTGGTAATGTTGCTTCTACAAGTGGTCATGGGGGGCACAACAAGTCTTGAAAGGTATGGTGTATGGGTTGAAGATGGTGGTATAGTTGTGGGTATTTGCTGAATCATGAGGTTGAAACTAGTGGTATACTTGTGGGTATTTGTTAAATCATGAATGTTAGTTTATGGGTTTGTTGAATTTGGACAAGTTCTTCTCTGCTTTTTTCTTTATATATTTTTGATTCTTAGTTGTTTTTTATTTTCGTATTTGTGTCGACACTTGAGATGATGGTAGTGATGTAACCAGGGTGTATGGTAATATGCACTACAACATATATTGCTTGATCTTTGACTATGTAACACCAATTTGGCGGTATGCTGATCATAAAAGTAATTTCATGCTTTTTATATTTAATCCTTTCATGTCCCCCTCCTTTATTTTTATTTTAAATTGTCCTAATCGTTTGGTTGGCACTTTCTTTGTTACCGTGTTGGTAGGCTTTCAATTTAGCTTGTATCTTTATTTCGAAGCATTAAGATTGTTGTGAAGATGAGTACCATCTCGTAAGGCAGAATTGTTAGAATAAGAACGTCTTTTTTGGCTTAAGCAAGTAGTGTGGGTTGGGGTTTTGAAATGTTTACGTGTATGAGATTGTATTCTGCTAAGTGAGTCGTAAAATTTGGAAAACGTTGAGGATATTCTATGGCCAAATAGGTAGTTTTGACCTCTGCCTTGTCATGATCTTATGCTCGACTGTCCGAGCTATAGAATTTTCATAGAATGAAAGTACTCTTAGGCTAAGCTTTTAAGTGGGATCGAAGTTTTGAACCGGGTTTAAAGTGTTGAACTTGACATTTATTAGCTTGTAGTCAGCTAATCGAGCTATAAAAATAAATATGTTATTAGGCTAAGCAGGTATCTGGGGTCGAAGTGTTGAACTTGACTTTTATTAGGTTGTAGTTGGCTGATCAAGCTACAAAAATAAAGATGTTATTGGGCTAAGCAGGTAGCCAGGGTTGAAGTGTTGAACTTGACCTTTGTTAGATTGTTATCGGATGACCGAGCTACAAAGCAATGATATTCTTAGGCTAAGAGGGTAGCCAAGATTGAAGTGTTGAACTTGAAATTTGTTAGATTGTATTCGGCTGACCGAGCTAAAAAATATAAATAAAATAAAGATATTCTATGGGTAAACGGTAGCCAGGGTCGATGTGTTGAACTTGACCTTTTTTAGATTGTAGCCGGCTGACCGAGCTACAAAATATAATTAGAATAAAGATATTTTTGTGCTAAGTAGGTAGCCAGGGTTGAAGTGTTGAACTTGACCATTGTTAAATTGTAGTTGTCTAACCGAGCTACAAAATATTAATAGCATAAAGATATTCTTGGGCTAAGCGGGTAGCCGGGGACGAAGTATTGAACTTGACCTTTGTTAGATTGTAGTCGGCTAACCAAGGCACAAAATAAAAATAGAATAAAGATATTCTTGGGCTAAGCAGGTAGCTAGGGTCGAGGTGTTGAAGTTGACCTTTGTTAGATTGTAGTCGGCTGACCGAAACACAAAATAGGAATAGATTAAAGATATTCTTTGGCTAAGGGGGGTAGCTAGGGTCAAAATGTTGAAATCAACCTTTGCTAGATTGTAGTCAGCTGACCGAGGTACAAAATATAAATAGAATAAATATATTATTGGGCTAAGCGGGTAGCTAGGCTCGAAGTGTTGAACTTGACCTTCGTTAGATTGTAGTCGGATGATCGAGATACAAAATATAAATAGAATAAAGACACACTTAGGCTAAGTGGGAAGCCGTGTTCAAAATGTTTAACTTGACTTTTTTTCTAGATTGTACTTGGCGGATCGAGCTACAAAATATAAATAGAATAAAGATAATCTTGGGCTAAGCGGTTAGCCACGGTCGAAGTGTTGAACTTGAACTTTGTTAGATTATAGTTGGCTGACTGAGCTACAAAATATAAATATAATATAGATATTCTTGGGATAAGCGGGTAGCCAGGGTCGAAGTGTTGAACTTCGAGCCTTGGTTTTATTTATCATGAAATAACCACATTGACAGTAGTAGCTTATCCTACAACATGATTTTAGTAGGTTGCTACCACTTAATTGCAAGCATACATATCTATTTTGCGCCTTTCTACTTACTTTCATGGCCTATCATGGATGTTACTACTTCCTGATGGGTTTTGTACAAACAATCCTATGTGTGCATGCAACCCTAGAATTGGATCTATGTTTTCACTATTAGATACACAACATTATGAACACATAAAGAAACCCTAGTATGCCCTTGTATTTTCAAAATTCATATAGTAGATTAGATTACATACCTTTTGTTGTTATATTGCAATAACAACTCAAATCTTCAAACCCTAAGTCTTGAAAGCAAGTACCACAAGTGTAGTACCTCTAATGGCTCACAAACACCAAGAGCAAATGGAGAGACAAGAGAGAGAGGGAGGAGGTATGAAATCGACCCTAAGAACCCTTTAGGAAGGCATGGATGAATTCTTATGGCCTTAGGGGTCTTTATATAGGTGTAGAGATTAGGGTTTCAGTCCTTATCCTTATCTAGTTGCTTGCCCACCAAGTAACCATAAGATAAGCCTTGAAAATCCTTATCCTTTATCCTTTGGACGATTTCAAGGATATCTTATCTCTTGAATTCGTCCAACCCATATCAAGGATACCAATTACCCTATTTTGTAACTATCACATAATTACAACTCAACCCCTCTAGTTTAATTAATTACATTTGATCACAAAGTTAATTCTTAATTAATTATTGACCAATATTAATTAAATAAATATGATTTCTCCTTTAATATATTATTATTATATCATATTAATAAATCATAATAACATCTTTCTCTATTATTTCTCCAGTCAAGTTGCTTTGGTGAAGGCAACCCAAAAGGACCATGCACAATCGGGTCAAGTACTTACCAAATATGGTTACGGGCTTAGACACTAATCCAACAGTCTCCCACTTGGATAAGTCTAGTAACCACAAATGTAAGTACAACTCGATTAGCAATCGTAGCTCTCAAAGACATTGTCGAACTCTGATCTTATCAGTAACCTGTCCTTTAGATAAGGGATCATATATTCCTCCATTCTAGATATCGTATAGACGTGAGACATGAATCGAAATCATTCTCTTAATCTATGTATTGTTTCCCGATTTACGATTTACGACGACTGACTAATTGAACAAATCAAATTAGCCCTAGCCCGACCGAGCATTTACATTTGTCATCACTAAATCATCGAGGGGCCCACATATATCACTTTTATCCCACTTTGGGTAAAAGGAATGGATAAACTTCGACTCAATGCTTGCTTGCACTCACTCACCAAATCACACACAACAATAAGTTTTATAACACCAAGTTACTGGTGCGTTTACATATTATCAATGTGCAACCGATTCGCAAGATACAACTCACACATCTTGGTTTCAAGAATACAAGATATTATCATCTCACGAATCGCTCGTGACAAAATTCATGAAACAATCTAGGTGAGCGTGGGTTTAATCCAATGCTTAAAATCATATTCATAAGTACTCATGAACATTGCAACAAACCTTTGCTATGTCCAATACACTTTAGACAATCCACAAACCAATTCATGGCAGTCTTCTTTCATACCTACTTCCAACGTATGACCGACTGTGGACCGTTTGAAAATTTCGATTATTTTTAAGAATCCTAATTATTCTGGAAGTCAAAACATGCAAAGAGAAACACAATGATAATACTTAATCTTATATGACCCCAAACTTGTGAGTATAAATAAAACACCCTTTATTTAATCATCATATTGATTACTCATTATCCATTGTTTAATGTTTCAGATAATCAACTTTATAACTCGAATCATAACCACAATTTTTCCATGCTCCAAGCATGCACACTTTGGATTCCTATGGTCCATACTTTGTGAAATAGATCAATTAAAACTTTTCAAATGAAACTCATTTCACAATCCCCAATCTTTATAATTAGTGTAAGAATACCAAATTCTTGCCACCTTTTAGAATATGTCAAATTCTAATATTCTATGCAATGATTTTCTTGTGAAGTCACGACACAAAAATCACAAAGACTCGGCCAAAGAAATCACAAGGTACTCTATCAAAATTGTTACAGAACAATTCTATAGATGTGATGTCTCTCACTCAAAGTACATTCCTTTGAACATCCTTTTGCATAAAATTTTCTAATCTAGACATAAATTCTTAATTTCCAACTCCTAATTATGGAAACATTTCCAAATTTACCATAAGACAACTCATTCTTAATAGAATCTTATCTATTCATAATAATGTCGATATGGTCCATTCAATACCATACTTCCAACTACTCATAATAATGTCGATATGGTCCATTCAATACCATACTTCCAACTACTCATAAGCGACCAATCCTCAGCAAACTTTGGATCGTCCTTTGATAGTTGTTTAATTATTTCAGTCAAAACCAGTTCTAGTCCCTTTTCCCTCTTAATGCCCTTGGCATTTGGAAAATTTTAGAACAGTCAAATGTTATAGCATATGCAATTGTTCCTATACCCAAAGCGTATGGGACATGATGCATAATGTCTTACATAAAGATACGATACTCTATCAATCTTCTGCCATAATATTTTATGTGTCACGTTCTTACAATTTGAACTATGAAGAGGGATGCCATAATCATAATCGAAATTTAAGAACTCACTATGTATCCTTTGACTAAATTTATTAAAATTTCTAAATCTAAGCCTTAGATTTTTGAAACAAAGTACAATATTCTCTCCCTTAATTATAGCAAAACAACTTTTCAACTCTTACAACTTTGCAAAGTATAACTCTTGTTTTCTATAATTAATATTGCTAACTTGCAATACTTACCATAATAATC